AGACAGCTGGTGCAAACACATTGATTTTTTTCGAACAGTGGAACTTTAATTCTCAGGAGAACATTCAAGAAATATAAGAAATTTGGACTTATGTTACCGAGAAGAATTGAACTTCGGAAACTTTACACAAGAGGTAAGCATATGCCATAGCAATTAATTTGTTAAGCACAGATTTTGAAAAACAAAATAATCTGAAATGATTCAAACATGTTGTCTTGTTCGGTTACAGTTAATACAGAGGTTGTAATTTATTTATTTAATTTTATTTATAGTTTTTCTTATTTTATTTTAAATCCTTGTGTTAACACAGATTGAAAAAGATAAATTTATTCTAGTCCAATCTTTGATATCAAATAGATACAAGTTGATCTGTGACTACAATGACACAAACAGAATAATGGTTTATTGTAAATTCATGTCACACCTGGAAATGTCATAAAACACAGTGGCTGGAGACTTTGTGACTGGTGCTTGTGATGCTGTGGCACTTTTGGACATTTGTCAGGTCAACCATTTTTTTTTTTTTTTTTTGGGGGGGGGGGGGTTCTTTTGGTTCACTGAGTAGATAAGAGTTAAACCTGTGAGAATGAAAGATCAATAAGTCTCCCCTTTTATGTGATGGCACTGTTGATTTGAAAGGCAAAAAGTTCTAATGAAAAATGTCCCCAAGTGTCATGAGTCCCAAGTATCAAGTACTTTGATTGAAAAAACATTTATTATTGGGGAAAACTTCTTGATGACACTGTTTTAATGTACAAATAATGTTCAAAAAGACTAAACATTTTTTAACATTCCAAGTGATCATGCAAAGCTCTTTGATAAATTTAAAGGACCAGATGTTATGCCTCACTGGTAACAGCACCTAAAAACATGTTTTGTCTCTTTTACTTTTTTTACCATCATAATAAATAGAAAATATGAAGAAAATGTCTCATTCTATGTTATATATGGTTGTGGATATTGACACAATTCTAAAGAAGTAACTCTATATTTCTCTTTACACTTGCTATGTTGTTGAAAGTTAAATGAAGCCATGTGTATTTTGTAATTATAACACATTAACAGGTCATTTTATACCCTTCATTAAACCAAGTATGTTTTGATAGTCAGCCAAATGAGGAGGTCGTGGTTCGTTCAACCGTCTGGTCAAGCGTGACCGCAGCGGCCAATCGTGAAAACAAATATTAGGAGACTGTAAAAGAAAGGTATCATGTACAGTTGTGACTTTCAACATGTTAACAACTCGTATTACACCCTTCGTGGCACAAATTATGTTTTTATAGCTAGTAAAATGTAGGGGTCATTTATCTGGTCAAGCGTGACCAACAGTCAATTATGAGAACAAATATTAGGCAACATGGCATCCAGGGGTGTGCGCCTTATTTCATTGTCTATTAAAATGTGACGGAATGTTTGTTAGTCTGAACCAAGTGAATAGTTTGTGGTAGAAGTTCAGTTCTTGTAAACAGATGGAAAAATGACCTAAGGGGACTTGTATGTGTTTTTTATGGTGAATATTTTGCTAGTGTAGAAAGAGCAGACTGGAGCAAATTGTGGAGTTGGCATAACTTTGTCATTTATGAAATACATGTACATGTATGTATATATATTAAAATATATACCCCTAGCAAAATGAAAAGTTTGCCGCAAATTTGCCGCAAACTTGTTGCAAACTAACAGTTTCTGGCAAGAAGTTTACAAGAAAAATTGTACTGCTGCTAATTTGCAGCAAATTTGCAAGAAAATAAAATTTGTTTTGCAAATTTGCAAGAAGTTTGCGACAGATCTGATATTTTGCTAAGGGTATACTTAGGCAAATTCAGATGTTGCATAGCGTTTCTCTGTGCATGTGTGTGTGTGCACATGGATCACCCCTTAAATTCTCTCAAAACATAAAAGGGCATGCTAAACAAAGTGATATGATAATAATTCACCAGATACCTTTAGATATACTTTTTATTCTTTTTTAAGTAAACATAAAGCAGAAAACTGCACCATGTTACTCAGCCCCAGATTTTAAAATCATCATCATCATTATATTAACAGATACAGTATATATATATATATATATATATATATATATATATAGCTCATTTTTAGGGGGTTCAAAAAAAGCACTTTTTGGCCAGCGAAATCACCTCTGAATCAAAACTTGCAGAATCTATATGCCACTTCTCAAGTTGTGTCAACTTAGAAGGTTAAAAAAAGTCCACATCTTCAGCAAAATAACCCCCCACTGAAATTGCTGGCCATTATTTATATGTAAGGCCTATGCTTGACAAGTAATATTGACAGCTGATCACAAAGGCGGCTTCTGTCTGTCATGCCATTTTGCCACCTAATTGAATTACGCTTTCCTGCTTCATTGAGGAGTGCATACATCACCAACTGAGCACGCCTTTTGTGATTCTGTTATTGTACTGGTGCATAACTGTAGGTTAGATGATCTAAACCCATGACAGACTGACTTTGGATCTGATGGTATTGATTTTATGCTGAGGCAGATAGGGATAGTCTATTTGGTCTGATGGAAGGTGTGGAGTGGATGACTTTTTTCCTTTTATATGTACTATGAAAGATTGTTAACCTGAATGAAAGAGTCATCTGTCTAACCTGAATTTAAGATTGTGTACATTAAGCCAACTTAACTAACAAACTACATTTTCATCATTCAGAGTATATACTGTATTTTGGATTTATTGAGGAATAAATATATTATGAAAAATTATCTAAAACTGTTTTATCACCAAATTATTAAGTACATTTCAGACCTAACATGCTTATCATTAACCTTGTCAACCTATGATTTAAAAAAAAAACAATTAATTTCAATAAAAGGTAATTCCATTGTGGTCTGCTAATTAAAGCACCTTTTCAGGACAGTGGCCTTTTGCCTTTTCTCATAAATCTTTTGTGTAATTGAAAAACAACTGTTTTTGTCTTTGATGAAAGTAAACAAATAATTTTAGTCTTAGAAATACTTACTAAGACCATTTTTGTCTAAAGTTCCATTGTGAAACTATCCCTAAGTGAATATTTCAGATATTGATCTGTGCCAACAAGAGACAGATGGAAATAAGGTTAATTGCTATCAAAACAGGATTTAAATACTCTACATAATGCAATTATATTGTAGTTCTCTGATATCTAGACAGATCATTTTCCATTTCATTACATAACAAAACAACCATTTAGACATTAAAATCAATTACAGCATGTATATATATATATGCTACTGAAAGGTCAACCTCATCCACTGTGAGTCAGACAATTGCCACAGGTAAATTCAACCAGTGGCAGTCAGACCAATGACATCTGACCTTAGAGGTCAGTCTGGCAGGAAACCAGGTCGTGAAATCATGGTCATCTTTGTCACCAACCCCAAGCCTTTCTGTGGCCAAAGGGGTGCCAGGTGAAATGCTGGCTATTGTTTGACATCAACAGGTAACACTGCATGGACAGTGACTTTACCCTAGCTGATTACTAGTAGAAGCACATCCAATATTCTGTCTCATTGGTGACAGTGCACCATATATAAGCACCATACTGGAAAGTGGCAGACAGGTCTCCATTGCATACAGGCATCTGACAGAAACTCTTACCTGGTTTTGTACAGTTTGAAATTGAAGTTGTTAAATTCTTGATCTTAGAGCAGTTTTTAAGTGATGTACTAGTAGAACATTTGATATAGGAGCCTTTACACGTACCTCACTTTTGAGCTGAAATATTGAAGCTGTCATTGCTTGCTCTAAAGCAGTCATATCAACAGTGAAACTAGGCAATCATCTATATAGTTACCTTAATTGTTTGAATGGTGAAACAAACAGCAAGGAAACAGGTGAGAATGAGTTGCTTCTTTTTTTTGATAACACCTTGAATTACACACATTGAAACTTTATTAATCCTGATATCAACATGCTACAGTGTACAAAGGTATACAGAAGGTAAGCTGGTGGGAAGGGCTTGTTTTTATCCCTATGATATGACACCCTTATAAGTTTCAGAAACTACTGGGCTCATTCCCAATAAAAAAAATCTTTCCACTTAGATTGATCCAACTTTGTGGAGACTCTTGCTGAATGCAGTCAGATCAACAGATTGACATGTCTCCTCCTGGTGTTGAGTAGAAAAACTGTTCATTTAAGGAGTAGGTTGGAAACAAAAGGTATGTTAATCTGTTAATCTGATTGAAATTAACGAGAGTGCCTGTGGAGTTAGATTGATCTACGTACATGTAGAACAACAGTTTCATTGGGAATGAGCCCTAAATACCTATTATCAATGTACCCATCTGCCATTTCTAGTTAATTACTGAACTAGATGCAATTAAATAACAGGTATTATTAATTTTGACAGGCACCATTATGTATTTTGAAAAATTGTTCTACTTTTGATATTCAACGGGGGCTCTTCCTTTATTGTTTAGAAGTTCAGCCTACATTGTACATGAATCTTGACTGGAACAGTTGAAATTGAAGGACACCATATACTTGACTTTAAGTCTATTAGTGCATCTAGTTTGTAAGCAGGCACTTTAATGCACTCTTCAGAGAAGTAGCTAGGTAGGTAGGTTGCGATCACCAGGTAATTGGTCAATTATCTCACCTGGCACACCTGAGACCAGTCTGGGGAGAGAAACAGGTGATATTTGCCTGAGCTGTATTTCTGAAAGACGACAAAAAAGAGACTTGAGAAAAGTGCTGTGGGCGTTGTCAGTAATACATATAGAGCATACTTTAATACATGTAAAAAGAAGTACATGTAATAGTATACTGGCTACGAAGTCAATTGTCAAGTGCACTGGTCTAGTAGATTTTTTTGTTTTGGTTGATGGTAAACACTTAGTATTTATTATCAATCATGGAATCTCATTGAGCAGGAAAGCTTACTTAGTCTAATAATCTGTGGTTATGTTCTACAGAGGATTTTTTAATGCCGTATAACAATATTTATATTTAATAAGCATTGCTTACTATTCTATATGTATATAATTTTTACAGGTGATTTGGTGAAGATTTGACTACGAATTTTGTGTGCTATGGAGAACTTGACCAACAAATTCAGCCGTGCTGATGTTCGCTACCAGTCGTTCCGCAGCTCAACAAGGCGTCAGACAGATAATGTGAGACCTTGTTATGGAACATTGCCCCGGAAACCACTAATTAATTCAGGCAGCAATCGAGAAGTGATAAATCAGTGCTACGGAACACTACCTAGACAACAACCAATAAATAATAATAATAATAATTCAGGAAGACAGCAGGGTAAAATAAAATCATATCCAAAGATACCACCAGAATGGATGAATTCTGCTGTTCAAACTGGCCAAGAAGAGGGTGAAGGTCACATGAAATCTTCTCCAAAAAAACTGGAGAAAAATTCAAATTTGGGAAAAGCTTTGCCTCCTCTCCCTGCTAGACAGAAGAGGGAAAATCCTGAAGGGTTTAATCCACAGACATTAAAGGATAAATTTATGGCAAGAAGCAGGTCCCCCCTCGTTGCAAGTGTGAGGACTCCTCAGAAGGAAAATTTGGAATGTCGCAAGGTGTATGGAACATGGGGACCCTCTACATTCAGGTGCTATGGAGAAATTGGGAGCAAATCTTTACCCAGATATACAGGTAGGGTTTTTTTTTAATGAGATTCATACTGGCATATTTATATTTTTCTAAATGTGTAAAATATTCTTGACTAAAAAAAAACACTTCAAAAAATTATCATTAAAGCCAGTGCTGATTGGTGGAAATCAGTTGTTTGCCTAAAATATGGAATATGCCAGTGTAAAACCTCAGTATTGTTTTCTTATGTTTCTTTATTAATCACAATATCAACTGTCTGTTAACAGAAATATATTTCAGAATTGTTTTGTGAAATGAGAGAGAGAGAGAGAGAGAGAGAGAGAGAGAGAGAGAGGACTTCACATTTCATTGCCTGGGCAACAAGGGCATAGAATGTATTTTTGTTTTTTTCCACCTGTTTTTGCACTGAAAAATGACATTTATAAAATAGTAATAAGTGGTTATTATTTCAGGTATGTTATTTTTATCCTGTTTCTTTGACACCAGGTACATAAGTGTCATAAATAGGCAGTAATAGAACAATAACCATAACAGGCATTCTTCACTATCACCCACTGGTTTGTTTTGAGTAGTGATGCTTCAAAGGTAATTTTATTACCTGGCCTGAAGCTGAACTGTCCAGTAACCCTCAAAATATGCTGTTACCTGTGATATTTATAGTGCATTAATGACAAGACATGGGACAAGCCAAAATGAGAAGTATCTAAATAGATTTATGAATCAGTTTGTTTGTAATGTAGAGGTGTTCTTCCATAATTGAGACTGCTCTTTTTTAAAAAGCTACAATCATGAATATGTACAAAATATGGAATGTATTGTACTTAATTTAATATTGTTATGGTCAAAAATCGAGAGAGAGAGAGAGAGAGAGAGAGAGAACTAGAGATCCAGATCGAGAGAGAGAGAGAGAGAGAGAATGAAATACAGAGAGAATAAATGAAAGACAATATAACAAAAGCAAGAAACACAAAGGTTGAATACCCATATATTTCCAACCACCTGTTCTGCTTAAAGTCACCATATGCTTTCTAGACACTAAACACCCAATAATTATTGTACCACTTTGTAATTTACTCCTCACGCCTTGACAAGTGCTGAGGTGCACTTCATTCAGCCACCCAGGATCCTAAAATTTGTGTGTCCCCTGTAATCATATGGCATAATGGCTATTGGGCACATTGTTGGTGAACAATAGAATACAGTAATACTTTTACTGGCACGCGTAAGGGCAATTTGCAGTTTGAATGGTGGTATTATTGGGGTATTTTCTCTGGACTCTTTGTTTTGATTAGCAGCAACCTGGATGCACCGTAGCTGGGCCGAGGAGAGATTTTACTTTAAAACCAAATGCCAGTCTGCTAAATTCTTAGTGATTATTAAAGACTATTTAATCACAACATATATTTGCTGCAACTTGTAATGGATGGATTGTATGATGAAATTATTTTTATCTTATATGTTAAAATCTAAAAAATTGCTTTTTGCAATATATGACTTGTCTTTATGGATCTGTTCAAACCATCTCTTAAGCAAATAATATGTGGTTAGAGCTATTCCACCATTTAAAAACTGAATCTTAAATCTATAGACCTGCTCAGCTGCACCATGGGTTAACAGAGTATATAATAATTTGAACTGCATGCTTCCTTCTTTTGAGAGGATTCCAAGATAATTGCCAGATGTGACTGGGTGAGATGAAGGAATGTGTTAGCCATTTCCATCTCAACTAAAGCAATTGTGGTATTTATAAGCTTAGGTGAAGTCTACACACTCTCTACTGCAGGTTGACTTGGTCAGAGAAGAATTTCATCAGCTGTGTTAAGTTATAAGAATGATGTGAATTTTTCTTCAGTCAACAGCTAATATTGAGATAGGTTTTACCTCCAATATTTAATATTTAATATTGGAGGTAAAAACCTATCTCAATATTAGCTGTTGACTGAAGAAAAATTCAATTCATTCTTATAGGTTGACTTGGTGCTGTCGAAGCTGTTGTGCAAAATAAAAAAAAAATCAGTTGACAGAACACAGAATGGGAATGTGCACTGCTAATGAATAGCCAGAGAAATGCCACGAATATCTTGTTAAAAAGTTAATTTTCATAAGAGCAAGGTTACAGGGTGTAAGCTGTGGTTGAAAATGTCACTGATGGCACATTATGAATTGATGCAGTTAAGGAAAATGTGACATTTATAGGTTTTCCTATTCTGTTAGCAGTCTGTATTTGAATATTTCTGCAAATAAATGGGTTACAGAAAGAAAAACATATTTTAAAAGTATTTAAGATTACACAACACCTTTTGCATTCCATGACTGAAACATTTGTAAGTCAATGGCTTTTTTGAGTGTAAAAATTTCCTAAAAGGAGGAAATATATTCTCAAATAAATTTGATTCCTTTATTGCTTAAAGGTCATACCAGGACGTCGGGGGAGTAATAGTTCTATTTAAATTATTACAGAGAAGCCATCGTGCCACAAAATTGGCTAATGAGGATATTGTGGGCTTTTATGATTGTCTGATAAGAGCACAGAACAATAGAACACACGACCATTAAGACAGTGGTATTGGGCTTTTTGATTTCCTGAACTGTTGCTTTTAAGAATTATGATGGAGTCAGTGGGTATTTGGAGTGGCAAAAGGAAGATTTTCAGTTTTAACACTAAAAGTGAGTAGTGTGTGTTTTTTGGATGGAGTGTTTGTTCGTGTATGTATGTGTGTGTGTCTCAATAGCAGTTACCATTACATCTTAAGTTATATATATTGATTTACCACAATATCAGTGTATTTGAACCAAAGGAGGCATTTTTTTATATATTTTCTGTTAAAATTAACTTTGCATCTACATGTATTTAGACGGATAGGCATTACCACCATGAGATCAATATTGATTTTGATTCTGATTTTGATTGGGCTTAATTGAATTTCTTGTTTTATCTCTCAACTCTTGAAAAGAGTCATTTTGAACTATCATTTTTTATCAGATGCCAATTACAGTTACACGTGAAATTCACCAGTGACTTAAAAAACAAAAAATTTGAACTCAAAATGGATTAATTGGATTAAAGTTCTGTGAAGGGATGTGGAAATGGTATAATTTGGTTAAAATGTTTTTAATGAAATTTCCAGGAGGATAAATCTTTGCCATATTAATTGTATGCCTTTAAAAGGAGAATATTGTCCTTTGCTGATTTGAAACTGGAGATTCTTTTGAAATATTAGCATTCAGCTGGTGTAGTCATTTTAGTAGTATAATTAGTAACAGCTTTTCTCTAGTTGTATTTTGATAGACTGACAAGATGACTAAACTGTATAGAGTTCAGACAATTTTTTTGCCAATTGAGAATTTCTTTTGAGTCATCTTTCACACCTTTGGCACAGGCAAAGAGATGTATATAGAGATCTTCTCTACATCTTTTTGGTACAGGCTTTAAAGGTAGGTGTTCCTGAAACATTCTCTTACAATATTTCTTATTATCAATATTTTTCAGGTCTTTTAAGGAAAATTAATTTGGCCTGTTGTATAATGATATGTATTATGCCTAACCTGGAAGCTAAGACACCTCATATATATATTTCAATAAAAAATAATATTTTAAATAACCTGGCATGCATGGGGGATATCCTGTAAAAGGTTTACATGTACTTTGGATAGATAAATATATTTGTCAGGTGTGCAACTTATTAAGAAGGTATGGCCATGATAGATATATATGACTCATATCAATTGTATTGGGCATTTCAGCAATGAGGAAATATGGATATTTCTTGACATTTCAATTGCTCCCAGATCTACCAGTACTAACAGACATCAAGAGGTAGCTTTAAATGATATGTCATGACTGTGCTCGCACACACACACACACACACACACACGCAGTTGAAATACTGAAAAATTATCTTATTTCATAAAGAAAGAACTTGTCTAGATTTTTTCCTGAAGCAGCCAGCACAGGTTTTTTTGTGAGATAAGTAAGGCCTCATGTTCCAATAATGAACTCTTGCATTTAAGCAGGAATAGGTGATAAATTTTGGAGACAGAAGCAGCTCGCTTTGGGAAAATTTGTGCTTCTTTTTTTTTAACCCTTAACTGAGTCAGTTATCTAAGTTGGCCACATCAACCACTTGAGCAGATGTGCAGAGAGCATGGAGTCTTATAAATAATTTAGGTGGTTTTTGAAAGGGCATCATACACGACCATATGTGCTACATCATCATCTTTAGGTACATGTGGAATCCTGGTAATTTTCTGGGTAGTCCCAAGCGGCTCCTCACAGTGAATTTCCCAGTGTGTTAATGTATTTACAGCCTGTCAGTTAGAAAGCTAACATATAGTGGATCCATACAATAGAAAAAAAGGAAACTATTCACAACTACATTTGAGATATTTTGATTCAGTTTTTTTTGTTAAAAATGATTTTGAGTTCTTCACATTTTTCCATTCTCAAACAAAAAGAAAATAGTTTCTTAAGAGATGATCTGTTTCCATCAAAGGTCCTTGATCACAAATGTGGTGATTTTACATATTTTAGAATTGCCAGTATATAGAAATCATTTCAGATCTATGATTTTATACATGACATTTTAGTTTCAACCATGCATGACAGGTCATCAACTGCAGATACATTTGTTGAGTTTCAGCTAATACATAATTGAATAAAATCAATAAAGATATTAGTTACAACAAACAAAAAACGCATAGACAAATAAATAAATGAAATGACCCCCTCCCTTCTAAACATCCAGGATGAATATATATGGAAGTACTGTAGTCAGATGCAGAAATACCAGAAAAGTTACACCATAGACTATTCTAGAACAGATGAGACATAAGATTATCAACATAGACCAGATGCCTGGAGGGGTGATCTGAGAATATTTTAGTTCTCGTCAGGCTTAGTCCATAAGGATGCTCAGGATATTATTTTTTATGATTTTTACGACCCATAGGCTGTGAGTGTGTTTTGTGCATGTGTGTGTATGTGAGTGCGTGCATGCGTGAATGCATGTTTGTTTGGAGTGAGGGGGAGGGGTTTATAAAGAATAAGCTAAGCTCTATTGGTGTAGCTGAAAAGGTCTGCTATGAGCTAAAAATTGATCTAGCTTCTATGCCTTTTTTTAGTTGGATCGACTATGGGAGTTAAAACAGTCTGCTTTTGCTTAAAGAAAAAACTCCCCCACCTTTGCAGTTGCTGGCTAAAGACCTGTTTTATATAGGAGGAAATCTTAAGGGAATTACAAACATGAGGACTGACGTAAATGGGCTTGCATCTCATGAGCGTGTTTCCCCAGATGACTAGATTGTGTTGCCATTGTGATTTAATTGTCTCGTATTGACGTCGATACATAAAACAGCCAAGAGTTTAAGCACTGTCTATAGCTGTGAGGTGGGGGTTACAGAAAGGCCCCGCTGGTCTTCTGATAATGAAATCAACAGAATATTAATTAACCTCTTTGATGGCTGTTTTAGACCTTATAACTTGGTACTGTCTGGACTTAATCTAGATGTTCCAGTAGCCCGTCCTACAGATATTTGTAATATGTGCTGGCTATATCATTGGTTTAAAAACCACCTATTAGTAATATAATTTGCAAAGCTATTCTTTGAAAGTAGCATGCAGGTTTTTAGTTTTAAAAGGTATACAGGTCACAGCAGTTGGTTATGTAAAATGGCCTTGAAAAGAAAGGAAAATGTGCTCACAAATTAAAGGTGTCACAGTGTGAGTTTGCACTTAAAAATCTACTTAGGAGTAATTGTGGTTGTTGTTATGTCAGCTTGTACCGGGTACATTTTTGAAGACACTGGTGGAATTGGGATGCATGTGATACTAGTTTTCACAAAATTTGAGAAAAAGGGTGAATTTTATAGGGACTTTACATGTCATTAAAATCAGCAAAAAATTGAATTTTGTAGCATTTTTTTATCAAATCAAACATTTTACCCCCAGAATTTTTTAGCTGCAGAATAAAGGAAATCAATGTTTGAATCATTCAGATGAAAAATGCATGTTTTATTCTGGACATCAGAAGGACAGGCAAACCATGTATTCAAAAGAACTTTCACTAAATTTTCGTTCAGTCTTTTGTGCATTTCTGTGAAGACAGGCTGCAGTCTCATTGTCACTAGTGAGAGTCACCATTGTTTTGGACTGCCATTTTTTGTAGAGTCGCAGCATGCAAGCTGTCATGACACTGGACATTTGACACAAAATTGATGCTTTAAAAAAGACACCCTGAGAGATATTGGGCAGGTTAAATTAGTACTGGTGAAAACCCACAGTCGGGACTTTGATTATTATATTTTTTAAGCTATAATGAGGGAAACATGAAAAAGACTGCAGAAATGAAAAATGGATGACAACTTGTGACTTATATTTCATATTTCTAAGCCAGCTTTATTTCTTTGGATGTGGACAAGGAATATTAATTTACCCAACCATTAATTATACCAAATCTATCTATAAGTATGTTTCCAATGATTTTTTAGTGAACAAATTTTTACTGTAAGTTGTAACATTAATTCGGACATACTCAAAAATTCAGAAACTTGGGCTAGCTGTCATGCACAAATATAGCCCGCGAAACACGGGGTGTATGAAAACACTGATATAGGTCCCTATCATTTCATAAACCCAGCAGCAGCGTGGGATAAAATGCACTCCAGGTCTGGTGCCAGCTACTTGGCAAAATAGTAGGGAGAGGAAAAGGTAGGTAATGGAATGGAATGGAGAGAGGATGATTTGGATATGTTGGTGTCTGGAAGAGGCTATCTACCCTCATGGTACCATGAGAGATTCGGGGCCAGTAACCTGGTTAATGAATATCATTTTTTTTTTATTTGCACGTCGGAAGGTACAGGGAAAGAGAAAACCAGTATCTGGATATTACTTGGACAATTTACATGTGCTACAGGATGGATGTTTATTACTAATGATAATATTGCAGGAAGGGCTGTTATTCTTTCGCACTTTTATTTTTTTCATTCTTTTATGTCATTTTAAGAAAGAGATGATGAAGATAGATGAATGCAGTTATGAAGTAAGGCTGAAGTGCACTCAGTGCATTTACATTATAAATATGTATAATTATATACTTGTTTATATAGCCCTGATATTGTGGAAATAATTGTGTAATAATTTATCTGCTCTGCTTTTAACCATCCCCTATATATCAATTTTGACAGAGTACTGGCAGTTCAACCATAACTCTGCTAATAGGATGGGGAGGGGGAGCAGAAAGATAAAATATGAGCAAAGCAAGTAAAACATCAGACGACAGCAAGTTAACTGTAATATGTGCAGGGAAGAAAATATTGCTGAGATTTTTGAGTTTCACTTGTTTTTTAAATTTTCTTTTTGGGGGGAGGGAGTGGCAGACAGGGGGATACTTAATAGAGTTAATAGTTAATAGAGTGTCATATATGGCCTCTGTGTCTTTGATGGATCTGCGATGTCTGTAGGATTTTGCTTAGGCTCACCAAGATTAACTACTTTAACAGCAGATTTCCAGCAATTTTCTTGGTTCAGTTGACCAGCAGGTTTTCTTGTGGGTATGGTTCAGTTGGTATAATATGTGGACTAACTGATATGCTGACTAAATATGGCCGACCATATTTAAAAGCAGTGCAGCTTAAACCCTTGACCGTCTCCCCGCCTCTACGTGCACCATTAAAAGAATTAAATCTCAGCTAAGAGATTTAGACTGGGTTCCCATACCTAGATCGATCCGTCTGGATCGGTCTAACTCCTTGGGGAGTCTCACTATATATTGCTATCAACTAACCTGCTTAAATGTCTGTCATGCCTACTGAATCAGCTAGGGTAAAGATAATTACCCCCTAACAGCTTTACTAGGCGTGACAGACATTAAGCCAGTTATGTTGATAGCAATTTAGTGAGACTCTCCAAGGAGATAGATCGATCCAAATATCTGTGGGAATGGTCTCTTAAGGACCCTGCAGTGACGGCCATGTGTAGGCGGGGAAGTCATCATGGAATATTTAGTCTGCGGATCTGTGAGACCATGGATATGTAGTATATATAGATAGCAGGAGTCAGCAAAGGACATTCACTACACATACCCATCTGGTACTGCTGTACTTGAGGAACAGCTGGAGGTGATAGCTTCTAGTAGATTATATTTAGCTTGATTTCTACAAAAGAAGGAGGGGTCAATTGGGAGACACTTTGTAGCTGTCATTTTTCTAAAATTATAGATCTGTCAAACAAATGTGCCAGCTGAATGTGTGGTAGCAGCTATTTATCCTTGTACTCTGGTGGTTCATAGTGTTAGATATTTGGGTTCATTTTTGAATTGATATTGTAAGACTGATTATGATTTGAGAACTACATGTAGCTGTGTCGTGTATGGCCCTGATATTCGTGGAATATACAGAGTAACACTCTAGTTTTTAGACAGCAAATTAAAGTCCGTGCGGTTTGGAAACCATGCTTTATTGAACCAACTAAAACAGAGATTTCTACTTGGAACGCATAAGGGTGCTACAAAAATAAGGAATATGCGGAACACGACATTCCTCCCCCTTTAGTTAAAACTACTGTTTACTATAATATAGTGCTGATAAATTCTAAAATGAGAAGTCTTTTTAGTTGCAAATAAAGAAAATGCGATTATAACTTGTCCATATAACAGTTTTAAGAACAATCAAGTTAAGGTCCATGCCTGATGATGCTTGTTAAGAAATGTCAATTATGCTCCAGTCAGCAGAGGATGTATGCCTGTAAGTAAACTTGTTAAAGGTCCAACATGACTGTTTGTAATAATTAAACAGGCATTTAAAGTCTAAATGCCAACATTTGTATGACAAATATCTTTGCAAGATAAAGTTCATTAAAAAAAAATAAAATAAAACTGAAAATCAGAAAGTTTTTTTTTTTTTTTTTTTTAAACAGTCTCTGAACTTCTGAAGTCTAACAATGTAACTAGAAAATCCCTGAACATGTAGAAAAGAAAAAAAAAAAATCTTTGAACATCCAGTCTTCAATCGCTCCTTTAAATCAAGTCACTGAACATCCAATGAACAAAATCACAAATTCAGCCTGTCTGGTGGCTTAGATATCCTGTTTGAACGTCTCAAAACAACAGTATCAGAATTTACAGTTATTTCTTGGGGTTCCCTCTCTTCTACAGGGGTGGGTTCAGGTACCACAGTCTCTGGAACTCTAATCTCTGGTACTGAGTTATTTGTAGGACTTGTCATAGGAGGCATTTCCACTGTCAACTCACACTTGCCTCTATCGTTTGAATGACCTTCCTCTGGACTCCTTGCTTTTAGGTGATCCTGGTGTCTCCTCCAAAGTCGCCCATCTTGCAAACGTACTGTGAAGGTTAGCGGGCCTAAACGTTCTTGAAGTACTCCGGGTAACCATTTAGGCTTTCCTTGGAAATTTACAGCCCACACAGTGTCACCTGGGTAGAAAGTGGTGTGAATGGCCTTCATGTCATGACGTACTTTGTCATAATCTTGTTTCTGTACTACTTTGTTGTGTAAGTTGACATCTGGCTTAACTAAATCCAGCCTTGTTCTAGGTTTATGCTTCATAACAAGATCTGCTGGTGCTTGCCCTGTTGTAGTTTGAGGGGTAACTCGGTACATAAGCAACAGTCTGTACAGTCTATCCTCAAGGTTTCCCACACTGTCTGCTTTCTTAAGTCCATTTTTAATGGTTTGAACAGCTCGTTCAGCTAAACCATTACTAGCTGGGTGGTACGGTGAACTTGTTATGTGTTGAATGCCATTGCATTTGCAGAATTGAGTGAACTCCTCACTAGTGAAACATGTTCCATTGTCAGATACAATGGTGTTGGGAATTCCCATCATGGCAAAAGTTTGCCTAAGCTTAGTCAGTGTTACTGAGGTGGTCGCAGAATGCACCACATGTGCATCCACAAACTTGCTGTGTGCATCGACAATAACTAATATCATGCGTCCTTCAAAAGGACCCATGTAATCAATGTGAATTCTGTGCCATGGGCGTCCAGGCCACTCCCAAGGTTGGAGTGGTGCTGATGGTGGTAGTTGGCTATTAACTTGACAACTGTCACAGTCTCTTACTTTTCTCTCCACTTCCGTATCAATATTGGGCCACCAAACGTAACTTCGTGCCAATCCTTTCATCCGTACAATGCCAGGATGTGACTCATGTAACTCATTGAGCAGAAATTCACGTCCCTGGGGTGGAACCACAACTCGTAAGCCCCACATTAGAATGCCTTGTTCCACACTTAGCTCATGTCTCCGTCTGACATAAGCATCATAGTGTTGATCCAATTTCTCTGGCCATCCATCCTGTACATATCGACATACCTGTGACAGAATTGGGTCACGACTAGTCCACTGACGGATCATGTCACTGGTGACTAGGGTTTCATTGTCGAGAAAAGCAAAGACCTGTTGATTTTCCTCTGGTGTAGTGCTTGTAGGCTGTGCTGAAATCAGAGGTAGTCGGCTTAATGCGTCAGCATTGGAGTTTGAAGAGCCACTTCTGTACTCTAAATGGTACTGATAATTTCCCAAAATCAACGACCATCGTTGGATGCGCGCACTGGCCATGTGTGATATCGGCTTGTCTTCTTTCAGTAGACCTAAAAGTGGTTTGTGGTCAGTTTGAATACAGAAGTCCCTTCCATATAGATACTTATGGAATTTTGTCAGTCCATGTATGATTGCAAGTCCTTCTCTTTCCAAGTGCGCATAATTTTTCTCTGCGGAAGTCAAGGTGCGCGATGTGAAGGCGATTGGTTTATCACTACCATCTGGCATGCGGTGTGACAATACCGCTCCTACTCCGTAAGGTGAAGCATCGCAGCTGAGTAGAAGGGGTAACTCAGGGTTATAGTAAACTAACACCTGTGAAGACTGTAATAATTTCTTTGACTCCTGGAATGCTCTTTCTTGTTCTGCCTTCCAATGCCATTTAGCCTTTTCATGAAGAAGCTCGTGGAGCGGGGCTAGAACGGTGCTCAGATTCTTCAAGAAACGGTGGTAGTAGTTGAGCAGTCCCAAATAGCTGCGTAGTTCTGCTACTGTTGTGGGGGTTGGGGCCTTCTGAATGGCCAAAAGCTTGTCATCCGTTGGATGTATGCCCTCTGAATCAAGTCTGTGTCCTAAGTAGACTACAGAGCGTTGCATGAATGTGCATTTCTCCTTGCGCAGCCGTAGGCCAGCTTCCTGCAAACGTTGGAGAACAGTAATGAGGTTGGTATGGGCCTCCTCGTAGCTTCTTCCAGAGACTAAGATATCATCAAGATAGACTGAAACCATAGGGATGTTCTGCACAACCTGTTCCATTAATCGCTGAAATATGCCCGGGGCTGACGCAATCCCATAACAAAGTCGGGTGTAGGCGAAGAGCCCTTTGGTAGTGTTAATGGTAGTCAACAGCTGAGAGTCCGGGTGAAGGCAAATTTGCTGGTAGGCATGACTCAGGTCAAGTTTTGAGTAGTACTGACCTCCAGATAGACTGGCATACAAGTCGTCAATACTGGGAATTGGATATCGTTCCACTCTGGATGCTGTGTTAATAGTCAGCTTATAATCACCACAAATGCGAATCTCTCCATTGGGTTTCAAGACGGGAACAATGGGTGCGGCCCAGTCAGAGTGTTGTACTGGACGTAAAACTCCATCAGCCACAAGGCGTTCAAGCTCTGCCTCCACCTTGCCTTTCATAGCCAGTGGAACTGGACGTGGCCTACAGTATACAGGAATAGCGTTTTCATCAACATGTAATTTGGCATCCATGTTATTTAACTTCCCAAGTCCATCATTGAATAGTTGTGGGAATTTTGTGGTGTAGTCTTCTGTGGACACCATGAATATAGGTGACCACTGCGGGGCAATAGCTTGTATCCAATCACGTCCCAACAGATTGGGACCGGATCCTTGTACCACATAGCAGGGCAGGCTGTATGTATTCCCTTCATAGCAGACAGGTACTGTGACTTGGCCCAATGGTTTGATGATGCCGCCTGAATAGGTCACTAAATTGGTAGCGTTATCCTTCTGCATTTTATTCAAGAGTGGAACACCGTTGATGGTCATAGTCTGAGCATTACTTGAACTAAGGATAGTTACTGAAGCACCGGTGTCAATCTGTAGCTCTGATGGCGAGTCTCCGATGACAAACTTGCAAGTATAGGGTGGTGTGCTAGGTTTGGTATTGTTTGTTGAGTATAAAAACTGGTAGATTGGGGTCTCAGGAACAGGTGTGGCCTGCGGTTGATGAGGGAGTGTCTCTAGCTGAGGATTAGCTTGGGCTTGTGGTGTGCAATCTGACTGTACATAGTTATTGGTGAGTAACCGTGCTCTACATACCCTGCTAAAATGATTATCCTTGTTGCAGTGGCGACACTGTTTACCCCAGGCTGGACACTGCTGGCTCCTGTTATTGTGTCTAGGTCCACCACATCCTGGACAGCTGCTACTGTGTTGTGATATTTTTGTCTGCTGTTGTTGGTGACTTGGTGTTTGTTTGACAGGGTCCTGTTTTGGGTGTTTCCTAAGCATATTAATTTCCTGTTCATGTTCCTGGCACTCTCCAGACATAATCTTGCTCTGAGACCTGGTAGCCTCTAATGTTCTGCCATATTGTAACAAATTTTCCAGAGTCAATTCGGAGTCTCTAATCCCTTTTTCTCTAACCTTCGGCTCAGAACACTTCTGAATAATCTGGCTTTTAATTTCTCTTGTTGCATTCTGGAACTCACAATGCTTGGACAAAGTTTTCAGTCTGGCACAAAATGCGTCTAATGTTTCAGACGGCAGCTGTGTTGCCTGTCGAAATACATAAACTTCATATTCCACATTCCTTCTCGGTAGAAAATGCTGCGTAAGTTTTTGCTTTGTGTCAGTAAAGTCATCATCATCTACAACTCCTATTGTCTCACTTAACTCAAATACCTCCTCCCCTGCTAGGTGTAGCAAGAGGGCTTTCTTTTGTGCATCTATAGTAATATTTTCTGACACAATAAAGTTATCTAGACGTTTTATCCACTTTTCCCATCGTATTCCCGCGTTTTCCGTGGGTGTGGTCGAAAATGCTGGAAAAGTGGCCCTTGCAAAGTTCATTGTGTATCTAGTGATCGGTACCTTGATAATCCGTTCCTCGTCGCCAATTATGTCGTGTATGGCCCTGATATTCGTGGAATATACAGAGTAACACTCTAGTTTTTTAGACAGCAAATTAAAGTCCGTGNGTGGTCGAAAATGCTGGAAAAGTGGCCCTTGCAAAGTTCATTGTGTATCTAGTGATCGGTACCTTGATAATCCGTTCCTCGTCGCCAATTATGTCGTGTATGGCCCTGATATTCGTGGAATATACAGAGTAACACTCTAGTTTTTAGACAGCAAATTAAAGTCCGTGTGGTTTGGAAACCATGCTTTATTGAACCAACTAAAACAGAGATTTCTACTTGGAACGCATAAGGGTGCTACAAAAATAAGGAATATGCGGAACACGACAAGCTGTCAATCTTCAACTGTGACTGTCAACCTGGATCTGTTACTGCCAACCTTGTACTCTGACTCTCGACCTTGTACTGTCGCTGTCAACCTTGTACTCTGACTGTCAACCTGGTTCTATGACTGTCAACCTTGAACTGTGACTGTCAACCTGGTTCTATGACTGTCAACCTTGAACTGTGACTGTCAACCTGGTTCTATGACTATCAACCTTGTACTGTGATAGTCAACCTGGATCTGTGACTGTCAGCCTTGTACTGACTGTCTAGCTGGGTCTGTGACAAAATATTAAGGATTTATTAACATTTGACTGCTCTTCAGAAAAGAGTCAAATACTGGGATATGTAACTTTAATAGTAAGTAATTTTTTCTGTTATATTTCAACAACTGGAAGATATCATTGTATAAAGTGTGAACATTGACAAGCAAATTAACTGAATTCCATAAATATCTCTGTTTGAAGTATAACTTATTCATTTTGACCCTCCTCGGGCAACTAAGTCAGTAAACAAACACCATTTTCTTTTCTGACTTCCTTTTCTTGCTAAATCAGATCAATATCATTTATAACTTTCATTTTCTTGGGATTACCACCATTCAGTTTTGCTCAAATTCACAATAATAGCTGTTAGACAAAACTGTCATATTAACTGAGGGAGAGAAGGATTATATAATAATAGTCTATGTCATACAGCACTCTGATTGTTTAGCAGGTGCTTGTTACTTTATATGTGAATAAGTGGTAGAGGGGCTTAAGGAATACTCAGAACAGTTATCCTCGTATCATTATGTTGTAATTTGTCATATTTCTACTAATTGAATTCAGTGTGCTATTCTTTTTATAGTCTGTGATTGAGTTGTCTGTTATAAGATAGTAAAGATGTTAGCCAGATCACAAAAGAAAAACCAGTACAGCTTGTTTTGATTTATAAGATTTGTCTAAAAAATTAAGGCATCATAGCTAGAACATTTACTGAAAGTTACAGGCCAGCATTATTTATTTCTTCAATATTTATTTCTACTTTATGTACATGTACAATACATACATCTTAATATAGATTCATAAAAATAATAATTGTTACAAGTTAATCAGAACTATAAGTAAGTGTAGTATAAAAGGCAACAAGTAAAATTGCCAGTGCTTCTGTTCCCTTTGATGTGGTATTCTGGTTAGATTTAACTGACATCTGTGGTTAGGGGTCCTTTAAATGTCATTATGATAGGCACCATGTTTTTATTTCTCTTAATGTGATAGGGCACACTATGGAATGATATGGATAATAAATTGGGAGCTCGTGGCTGGCATTAGGTCTGAGGAACATATTCATGGCTTAGACAAGTATGCAATTTCACAAAAAGATAGTCTGTTGAATATAGTATATAAAAAAATGAAGACATGCAGAAATGTATTTCTTTTTCTATCAGGCAAGGTTTTCAGGGAACATATTTATTTGTGGGCCTCTCTGTTGGTTTTCAGCATAAAGGAGCTAGACACACTAAAAGTTTTTTTCACATTACATCATTCAGCTGATTTTTAAAATCTTTTTTACCTTTTATAAGCGTAAAATGACAAAAATATGCATGGATTGCAGAGAAATAGAATGTGTTAGAGGAGATGTAGAAACACATCTGTCATCTCCTCCAGCCACAGTCAGAACAACCAATGTAAGTGTTGATTGTTTAAAGCACCAGTGGCAGGGGATAGCATTATGTCTGTACTTATGAAACACTAGTCAACAAAAATTTACAGGTATATTACTACATTCAGGTTGAAAGAGGAAGCCATTTAAAATTTCCCTTGGTCTTGTTGAAAATATACAAATTAAAGCAGAAGTAAAGATCAGTGAAATGAATTATGTTTTCACGCGTGGATTCCTTAGTGTAAATTTCACTCGTATATTACACTACGTAGATTTATGATTGTAGATTACACAATGCAGATTACACTTGTTGATAACACTACCAGGTGTTACAAATCTCACCTGTCACTGAGGACATGCTACCTGTTGGATCCAGGTACTGATATACTCCGTTTCACGCTAGAGTCTGATAGGTGACATATTATACTGGTGAATACAGGCTTTTTTCATTTGGTAGAGACAAAAAGATAACTTTTTTTGCTCTTTATTAAGCATCTTACAAGCAATTTGGCATCATACTGTATCATATATTTTCTGTTTCATTCACCAATTTCCCGATAATGTTATCGAACCATGATTGGCAATTTTCAGTAATGAAGGTAGCATGCTGGTGAAGACAGGACTTTACCAAAAGGGATGGGGGTGGGGCAGAGGAGCTGGGTGGGTTGGGTGAAAAATGGTTTTTTTTTCTTCATCAAGATCATTCCCATAAACGGGGCCGTAGCGATAGTCCGAAGGTTCAATAGTCCGAAGGTTCATTGGTCCGAATGTTCACTATAGAACCTTCGGACCAATGAACCCTTGATTAAAAAAACCATGAAAATGTTACCACTTTTCGGACCAATGAACCTTCGGACCAATGAACCTTCGGACTATCGAGACGCCCCCCCCCCCCATAAACACCTGACATCATTTTGGCATTATTTCCTTGGGTCCAAATGTTGCACTGATGTTATAGAAACCCCTATTTTTCTTATTGCATCAGTCATTTTTGCCATTCCCATTTTTAATTTCAGATCAGCAATAGTTGGTCTTTTACAATTTTTATGCTGTTAAATATGATATAGGCAAAAAATATGAAAAGTGTGACTATTTAATAATTTGTTGAGATTGTCTCCCAATGTTACTTTTATCCCCATTCAAACAGTGTGTGAATCCTGTGTAGACCCTGAAGGCATTTCGGTGTAAAGCTTTGTATATGAACCTTTTTTAACATCAAAGTATGGATGTCAGCAATTAAATTAATGGCAGGCTTCATACAAAGCTACTTGTATCATGTAATTTTCTGTGTCTCTGCATAATTTTTTCATCAAAGTATAAACATCTGAAGTGAAGTCTTATGAACCATTTGGTCATTGATGCAAATATATTTATGGCAAAAAAAAAAAATTGTGTTGGAAAGGTGCATAAACACAAAAATGTTTGGTGATAAACTTCAAAAGGATTGTTATCACAAAAGCAGTTTTAGTTTGCGTTTTTTTTTTCTGAACAAATGGCCTTTTTATACTCTTATTTTGATGCAGAGTAGACCACCTCTTAGAAAAAAAAAAAAAGGAGGAGGGGGGGGTCTTTCAAAACCTTGTAAAGTCCTCTTCCCCCTCTCTCCCCCCCCCCCCCCAAACTATAGGTTTGTCACTATTAGGTAACTGCAAAGTAAATTTCCCTTATCTTTCTTTTTCTTTTTTTTCTTTTAACTTTTGAAGTGCTTTTGAAATTTTGCTGTGCCATTATGACTGGGAATCAAACTTATTAAATTCAGTTTATTTCATGCATCACATTGAAATGAGTATGCACCATGTCTGCTAAGTTTACGAGTAGTAATTTTCAAATTTTATGGCTGAGAATCAAACTGATTCAGTTTATTTCATGCATCATATTAAAATGAATATGTACCATGCCCAATATGTTTACGCAGAGTTATTTTCAAATTTTATGCCCAGAAGCAGGGGGGAATGAGTTAAATTCTCAGTGAACCTCATCTGCCCAGGTACAGGTACAACACAAGGGTGGCACTCATTATTCAGTCCATGAATGGGAATTAGCTTTGATGCAATGTATGTATAAATGGTGGCATTGTATCATACATCATAGCGGGTTATTATATATGTGATCTACATGAAATAACAAGGCTGTGAGTATCTGTGAGTAGTTAGTGGACATGAAACTGGACCTTAAAGTGGACATGAGATGGCCAAAGATGAAAACCTTTATTGGTAAGTTTGGGATGGAAATGTTTATTTAATAACTCAAAATTAACAACATGTTCCCAGAATGTGATGATGAAAAATATAATCACTTGGAGAATTAAAAGTGAGGTTTATAGAAGAATAGACTCAATAATATTTTAAGTTAAAATTGTCCCAGCTACCAGTATATTAATTTATAAAAGAGAAATACCTGTACCACTGGCAGGCCCATGGGCAAGGGGGGTTAGGAGGTTCAAAAGAATCACAGTTTTGGTTGGAAAAGTTCTGCTCTGAATCATATTTTTCCTGGTACTAATGCCATCTATTAAGTCAGCTTAGAGGTAAAAAGGTCCAATTTTCAGAAGAGACCCCTTATTAAGTCCCAGGCTGCAAGTCTCACTGGGATTTAGTTGTTGTATCTCTGAACCTTCTGATCCCTAGGGGAGTAAAAAAAACCACAATAACATCTTACCTAGATGACTACCATTGGCAGCCTTTTCAGGACCACTATTTATGTACATGGTTTATTTCATTATGATCATCCTTGTGACCAAAATACACTGCAGTTGTGCTAACTGGATATTGATTAGAGATTTGGGCCTCAGTTTTGATTTTATGCTTTTTTCCTCTGAAAGAGACATTTGTCAATTACAAAGAAAAAAAATCAGAAGGAAGCTGGTAGAACTGAAAGCTCATGAGTTGGTTCCCTTGCAAAAAGATTTCTTATGGGATCCTTTGTATAATTTCCTTTGGGAACCTGTAGGATCATATGTTAGTGAGGAATCTGTGTGACGGAATATTCTGAGTTGAATGTTAGTAAAGGAATCTGTCTGAGGGAGTATTCGGAGTTGAAAAGTGTACATTTAAGCTAGGTGTTGTTCACCATGCAAATATTGTATTTTATTCACCGTCATCACTCATTTGCGTGTTTAAGTACCTACTGATCTTTGTTTATCATCCACAGCAGTTAATGAGTGATTAAAAATCAATACATACTCAATGGAATGTGCTTCTGTAGTGATCGTGGAGCCGAGCTCGGCAAACGGATCAATAAACCCAGTAAAACAACAACAGTAGTGTCCCTTTGATGTTACGCCATGATTAGGAATTATCAAGCTGTCATGAGCTTGAACACATTTAGTGTTAACCCCACTTTAAGTCGCCCACTCATACTCAGGTAACCTTGCTCAGGTGCTGGCTTGAGTTGGGGAAGAGAAGGGGTGTGTGCTTATTTTCCCATTTATTTGTCTCATTAGAGCCTGTATATGTATGTGTATTTGTTTATGTGTGTGTGTGTGTGTGTGTGTGTGTGTGTGTGTGTGTGTGTGTGTGTGTGTGTGTGTGCATGCATGTGTGTGTATCTCAAAATCAAACGTGCATAATTCTTCATGTAGAGCTTTGGAAATTGAATCAAACATGATGTGATGATGAACTGAGTTTTGCACTGCTAGTTTAGTTTATAGTGATTAGCAGTCATTATTTGTTGCACACACACACACACACACACACACACACACACACACACTTGATATCATAAGGATCTATAAGTAGCTGAGACCTTATTGAGTTTCCTCTGTGAAATTAAATGAAAATTTAGATGGTAATTGATTCACTTTTTTTCTCCATAACATCATCTGATTGGGGGAAATTGTATTTTGTCTCTCATTTGAAGTCTTGTAATATAATAAAGACACAGCATTCAATAACAAAAGAAGACATTTCTGACAAAATTTCATTTAGTGATGGAATAGCATTACAATTAATGGATCATTTTTTATATTCACACTAACATATATGAAAGTATTGATCATAGGAATTTTTAACCAAGACTCAACCCAGATAAAGTCCAATCAAGTATTTTTTGTCAAGAGCAGTATGAAAAATATGAGAAAACATCTAAAATTTGCATTCTTTAAGTTGTCACACTTTTATCAACAAAAGAAACTGCTTGATGTAGATCTTAGTGGCAGATAATACCAATGGTGAATTTAGATGTAAAGCTTTGTATATGAAGCTTTTTTTAACATCAGATGATACAATTTTACTAGAACCATGTAATTTTCAGTGTCTCTGCATAACTTTTGACATCAAAGTATAAGTGAAGTATCATGAAGTACAATACAAAAAGACAAAAAAGTGTAACCCAAAAATAAATTTGCAAGAGATATTATTGTAATGGGACGAGTCTTCATGAAGACAAATGCATTTCTCTTTAAAAAATATTTCACCATATGTGACTGTTGTTTAAGTACTGAGAAACAATCATTTCTCAGGGAAAAATCTTGAGAAGAAAAAAGGATGATTTTAGGCTCTTACGGAACAAAAAAATAGTGGTTGTGACTGTAGCATGCTACTACCGCCTACACACTATACAGGCACACAATCATACAATCTGATTCATTATGCTCTTACATGTTCATAAAATCATTTACACCATTAAGAGATTAAATGCTTCCTTGACGGCATCTTTGATTTCTTCAATATGTCTGAGTGGAGGGAAAACAACTCGCCTCAAAAACCTACATTGATTTTGGATACTTCACCTATAATCTTTTTCCAATAGATATTTTTGAGTTGATAAACTGTTGCCACACTTTGGTGCTCTGATTATGATAAACACAACACTGGATTGAGTAGTAGTAATTGTGAATTATAAAAATAGCTGTAATTGAGATATTTGTATGACTAGAAAGTGAATGTATGTCTTTTAAGTTTGTTTTTGCAAAAACCATTAGAGACAAACACTTCCAATTTGTGATCATTATTTGGAAGAATTTGTAGTTTGCAGTGTACAGATTTTGTGCCTGGGAAAGGAAAAAGGATAAGAAAAGGCAAAGAAAGACATTCATTTGATGAGAAATTAATTTACAGGGAATTAAGTCTTTTTGAAATTCCCAAAGGAGTTGAAACACATTGAATGGCTATTGACTATTGAAAAAAAGAAAAAGAAATTCAAAAAGCAGAACAATTTACAGACAGCTGCTGAGAAAGTTTTGCATAAGAAATGGCCTTTATTTGGAGAATCCTTCGTTGGTGCCTTGGAGGCATTGGTAGAAAATACACACACCAGAGAAATGGTAAGTCCATAAAACAAGAGGTTTTTCATTCCGAGCTAATGATTTAAAACTTGGATGTGCATTCTAAAGGGCAAAATTTATAGACAACAAAGCATAATCACCTCAAACAAAATTATTACAATTGTTCGACTGTTATGTGATCTGAGATAATACTTGTAAATAAATGAGTCTCTGAGAAATTGGCACAGTAATGCAGAAATGTTTATTTTCTATGTAGTATTTGGTCATCATGCTGAATTGCTGATTCAAAAGGTGAACACTTTAAGGATATTTATAGAAACTTAAGGCTATTTTTGTGCTGTCTTGAGTTATACTACGTGAACTTCAATCTGTAGAAGCCTTTCTCTCTCAGTAAACACATATCTGTATNTGTTTTTTTTTTTTTTTTTTTTGAGAGGTGGGGGTCAAGCTGTATAAATGTAAAGTGTACATTGGACAGGCAATTTATATCAGTGCAATTAACACATGGTCAAAAAATTTTAGTGAATTCTTTTCTGTATTTTATATTTCCTTTTATAAGGGATAACAACTGTTCATTTTGGCCAAAGCTACTTTTTTCGAAAATTTCGAAAATTCAAAGAATGATGATCAATAACTATGTTTATATTGTAAATGACGCCTTGTCAACACATCGTATTTCTTTTTCGTACGGCGACGATTTGCCCATTACATACACGGTAAGCTTAACCTTTGAACTAACGACAGCGCCCCCTCTACAGAAGTATACCTTTATTTTTCCTGGACCAGGTTTGTTACTAGAAAACAATAAAAAAAACTCAAATCTGCTAAAATCTGCTTAAGGGCATCCACTAGCTAATTACCGATATTTAGAGTAGAACTTACAGTGGCACCCGTCAACGTCTGTGGTTCCTTCGGTAAAAGTGGACTTCCACGGTGGACACTGGACGCACTGCAACTGGCCTTTTTCCGGCTGATACTGACCAATGGCACAGGGTTGGCACCTTGAATTGGTCAGATTATGGAAACTACCTTCTGGACAGAAATCTGGAAGTAGGAGTTTAGTGTTAGAATAAGAGCAGTCAGCAGACCGGCGTTGTTGTATTTGTAAATATATCAGTACAACTCAATAGGTGTTTCGTAATATGTCTTTGAAATTAGAAAATAGTAGGCCCTTGAAAGCATGACCGACGTATTTCCATTTATTTAATTATTAAGATAATGACTATTAATTTATAATATGTTTTTCTACAGAACGGCGACGACAAAATTATGGCATTTGCAAAAATTTTCTGCGAAAATTGGAGAGAATTGGAGATAAACTGATGTGTAATTTAACTCTGATGACGCCACATAAAGTACTAACCGCATGTGACTGAGGTCACGTTGATGACGGATCCATTCGGACAGGTTGAATTTGACGGACTTACGACGGAGAAATCTGCCAGCGACAGTGGGGATGCATGTGCACCATATATGAATTTTAACACACCATCATGGAATGCAACTGACAAATTTTGCTTTGTGGACTCGAGAGTTGATTTAGCTGCAGTGACAGCGTCACTGTAATTTCCTTCGATGAGTTGCACATTTAGAGTAAAGTGTACACCAATAAGACAACTGCAACTAGTTCTCCGTCTTCTTAATATTTTAGGTAGGTTTCCAGATGTCCACTTAGGAAACAAATAATGCCCGATGTTGATACCTTTGTGGGAAGTCTCTCCTTTTTCTCTGTAATGTAGGGTTGAAGGCAAGTATTTCTTTCCTATCAAATATCTCCGTCTTTGTTTCGCATTCTTTATTATAATTTTAATATTTCTTTTTCTTCGCCCATCTCCATTTTGCCCTCCATCACAAGCTGCAATGACATACATGTACGTGTAGCTGCAGTTATGTTTGGTACAGTTTGCGACCGTGTCCAACTTAGCCCCTTTCATCATTGTATGAAACGAAGGTTCCAGATCATCTGATGGCTCCGGACAAGAGTTCCTACGGAAAGTAGCTGTAACAGCCATTCTAATGGTTGGGCGTTCAGCGAGAACCTCTATGTAATAATAAAAAAGAAAAGTAAATGTATTAAAGAAATTGGAATGGCAGGAAGACTGAGAAGCCTCAATCTCTGTCTATATGCCTATCTAATCTATTGCTCAAAACAAAACATTTAGCTTGCTCTCACAATTTGATAACACTGAGAGAGAGAGAGAGAGAGAGAGAGATCCATCCTCTCAAAATGGCGTCTCTCGGAACTCGACACTTTTTACTTTCATTACTTTTTACCCCCATGTTTTCTTCATGCCGAAAATGTTAAATATACCAGTTCCTACTTACCTCTACCTATTAATATCAGCCACGGCAAGAGAATTCTGTACTGAATATTCTTTAAAATCGTCATATTTTGATAAAAAAAAAATAACCGTCTGTTTAGCTGTAGCTCAACTGTGTTGTCGTCATGTCTCAATATAAACCATATGAGGTCAACTTCATTGTAGATGGAGACAATGCGACCGCTATTATTTTTTCGCGTCAAAGGGTGTAGATTACGCTTTAGAAATGCACCACTAGGGGTATTTTTTCATACGTCATGAGGAAAGATTTTTCCCCTCCTTCTTATGTTTCAGCAAACTTTATTGTACATAGAAGAAAAAGGCTTACTAACATATATTGACCAAGGCAGTTGAATATAAGCTTAATTCGAACACAATAGGCTATGTTTGCAGAAAGATCGAGAGGACGGTAAAATAGGTGATATTTTTATGCCACCTCCCAGCGGGCAAATTATGTTGTTTTAACGTTGAAACAACGTTGAACCATAACGTTGATAATACGTTGGATTAACATTGGATTTGAAAGTTGACTCAACCTCAGATAACAACGTTGTATCAACGTCAGATAACAAGATTGTATCAACCCCAGTTGTTAGACAACATTCTTGCATGAAAATACATTAAAATGACCTGAAATGTTTTTATTTTTGGTACAAAACACAGGTACACAATTATAACGTACACTGTAAAAACATCCAAGTGCCTGCTTTGTCTGATTTTTTCAACCCATTTAGCTCCTAAGCATGTTTTGCTGCACCTAAGCATGGTACACCCTTTTAGCCTGGATGTGTTTAGCAGTAGGACATGTTTGATGGCTAAATATATCTAGGGTATATATGTATGGCCTTTCAGTTAAAATGTCCAAGGCTTATATATATAACAAAGTCACAGTCACCTCAAACTGTCTATCTATAACAGGGCACCGAGAACTGTTAACTTTATTAACTACATTCCATCACATTTACAGCAAAGTATTCATCCTAGTGTTAGCTGACCTTGCAAGGAATTCAGTTTATTGGAATGTATTTCTGAATAACAAGTTAAGCAAATTCACTAGTTCACTAAAGACACAAAACAACTGTCACTTTTACTTTAAACACTTTTTTTATTATTTTGATAAAGTTAGTTACAGTATTGATAAACAAAGTATCACGTTTTCAACAATTAATATTTTAAATTACAAACCATGTCTGCAAGGTTGTGTCAATGACCAAAATACAACGTTGAGTCAACGTCACATTATGAAGGTGTTTCAACGTGGCAGGATCAACGTTGAATTTACGTTGAATTCAGGTAGGTCAACGGCAATTCAACGTATCAACCTGTTTTCAACGTTGATCCAACACGACTATGCCTGCTGGGCTGGTGCTGTTTACATAAAAACATATTTCGATAGTTTCAGAGGCATTTTCCCCTAAAAACCATCACAAGATCCTGGAACGTGCCCACATGACTCGTATTTCTCCGCTTCTACAAACAAATCCTTTATCTTGAAATTGAAAGATACTTCTGGTTTATTTATTGCAACCAGCGATATATAACACAGAGAATAACTTTCTAAAATTTATCGCAATGAAAAGAAGGATTTACCTTTTACTAAATTTTCCCACAATTTGAAAATGTATACAAAATCGTGTATCGACTTGTATAGAAAAAAAATACAGCTTGAGTATACGGGCTTTGTATGTGATTAACATTAATTCCGACTATCCTAAATGTTTCATCTTTCAAACATGAAAATAGAATCGGTTGTAGAGATTTCTAAATCAGTCATTCTTTGCTAGTGGTGCACTACAGGGGGGCCATAACAAGAATGTTATTTAAATTTAGATAGCCAACCAAATTCTCATGACATCGTTGTGTATGTTTCAATAACAAATCAAAGAAGCTGCATGAGCAAGGAGGATGCTGTTATAAAAGCAAAATAAGAGAAAAAGCAGAAAATATATCGAAATTACCCTCAAAATGGCGTCCATTTTTGTGGAATTTCGACCCTACCTCTATTTAAGAACAGTTTGTTTAGGGTTTGAATGGATAATTGAAGCAGGAAATATATCTACTGCAAGAAGATATAATAAACAGAATGTGCAAATTGTTATTTAAATAAGAATTTATTTGAAGTCACTGAAAAATGATCACAAAATTAGCGTAACTTACGATACAATTTTGTATTTAACTGAACTTTATTGTGTTAAAATAATAATAATAAAATAATAATTCAGATAAAAAACTACAATCTGGAACATTCTTTAGATCAACTTTGTTCAGTGTGTGTCCCATGTGACAGAGTTACAGTAAATAAAATATCTGCATTATTCCTCTGTGATTGTCAATTCCATTTTAAAAGCATGTGAAAGTGGTGTGCCCCTCATGATTGAAGTGTGTATGGATAATAGCAAAAATATTGTTATTATTTACATGATTATAAAAAGTTTTTGTACCCGCGTCAATAACGTTACCGTGACCCACATATTCACCATTTTTATTAATTATGAAATGTGGATTAAATTCTTCAAACCCAGTTTTGAAGCATTGAGACAACACCCCCTTATGATTTAAACTAAAACTGAAAACATTCCATTGGACTTTCATTAGTTTGTGCAAAATATATTACCCAGGGTAACGTGTCTTGGATTTGGTGGGTATAGCTGTTCAACTCTCCTGTGTGCCCTAAAAAGGGCAGCTGCTGTTTCCCTTTTTCTGAAATGATAAACTGTGATGGTGTAGCTATCACATCGCAAAATTACAGTTTCGGTCAAATTCAACATTTTAGCAAAGAATGACAGAAATAGATATATTTAGAAATGAGATGAAACGCTCCAGGAAAACGAATCTTTAAGCGAATTTATCATACTTATTTAAGTTCAAGGTTAACTTCTCATTTCATATCATCTCGCTATAATTGAAGATTTTTTTACCTACTCATTTGGTTTGATCTTTTTAAAGATTTTAAAGACTTTTAAAGATGTTTTAATACAAATAAAACTAATATACTGCATATACATATTTTTATTTGGACACACAAAAAAGAAAATTTCATACATAATGTAATCAATATCATCGACATTTATCATTTGATGATCTTTCCCCGGATCAATTTCAAATCTTTAATCCAATACAAGGGTTTGGGAAGTTGTCTATATGATCTCATCAAAAATATACTCACTATCACTGTAAAGTATGTATTTACGGTAAAATTCCAGTCTAACATTTCCAATCACAGAAATATCCCTGTACAGCTGTGCAAACCTCAACATAGCAAAATATATGCTTAAAAATCTTGATTATAGGCAATAAATAACTAAATAAATAATAAAAAAAAAAAACATGGGCATCGATAGCATATCATAAACATTAAGTAATTGGTGGCATGACACTGTTTGTATTGACTCGAGCTAACCGCCCAACATATTGTCCAATGTCATGCATCTTCACGGATCTTCATTCCTCGAAATAACAAAAAGCTGATTTAAAGTCAATATAATAATAATAATAATAATAATAATATAATAATAATAATATCTTTTGGCACTCCTTAAGCATGAAATATCAAAAATATTGATATACTGGTATACAAGTTGGTTGTCGGCATTTCTTTACAATAACATTATATTTTATAGACATCAAAAAGACGCTATGGTCTTTCTGTCCTTGAAAATTCACGTAAAAAAATGGAACACCAGCGCAGTAAGGGGAGGAGCAGCCATGAACAAGTTAGGCTGCAGATACTAGTATTTACTGATTTGCTAACTTCAAAGTACGAACCTACATGTATGTCTAAATTTAGGGCAGGCTACGTGACTATAGAACGTCATCTATCACGTCATATTCTTTGAGCAATTACTTGATAATTGAATCACAGACAGCCCTTAATACCAAAGTATTCATGACATAGTTCTTAAACACAATTGCGGCAAAGTAACTTCCAATAAAGCGCAAACCTTTGACAGGACGGATTAACATTACCAGTACGGAATAACTATAAAAGCTTATTAGACATTATTCTAAAAATTCTTCTCTGAATTACTAAAGACAATGTTCATCATTCGATTAAAAAATAAAATCAGTCATCGGATGTGCTTTGATTTGTTTTGTCCTCTTCGACATAAGACTGTGGGTGTATTCTTGATCGGGTCAGTTTTAGCGGTGGTAACGTCTTTTTAGTTAAACTAGAGTCAGACTCTCTCGCTGAGTGGATGTCACCCGTCGTTTCTGACTGTCGTTGCTTTTTCCTAATTTTTTCATCGGAGCCATTTTTTGATTGTCTCTTTTCCGATGCGAAATCCTTTGCAAACTGCGAGTTCTTTTTCGCTCGTGGCCACTTATGAAAAAGAGGAGGAGCGGAGTGAACAACAAACGCATTTTTGAATGGCTGTAAAAAGTTAGACATTATACTACCCTCCTTAGATTCTTTTTTAGTCTCAAAGGTCTGGCGATCTTCGTTTTTTGTTCCCTCATCTTGTGAGACACATCCTGGTTTGCGTTCAGTCGTAGCAGAAGAAGCAATGACGGTTTCGGGTTCTTCCGATGACATTGCAATGGAAGAGAAATTCTCATTCATACCGTCCATGAATTTGTCGCCTGCCTGATTCATCACCTCGTTAATGACGTAACCTCTGACGTCACTGAGATTCTAGCCCGTCACTCAGCGCCAGAAATTCTTTTTCTCAGTGATAACCAAAATTATCAGTTTCCCCGTCAAGATATAAGAACCGTTTGATCGAGAATGTTTGTTTGAACTCTCAACGTCCATGCAAGACCAAAGTTACTGCTATTGATCCATGGGCGCTAAGCTGACTTATTTTTCCTTTTAAATGGTGGGTCTGCTTCTGTCGGTATTCAAGATGGAAACATTCGAACGAGCTTGCCATTGCTAAGACGAGGTTCGTTTGTTGGGCCCTTGTTCGTTGCAAAATCATCGAATAGGCCGTGGTAAACCCCACTCCTGTTCAAGCCGACTAGTTCACAAATTGACATTTGCCCAGATTAACATATGTGTGAGCGTTCCAGTTTTTCACGCATGGCTTTGTGGTCAATGTCGCTTTTAAATATAGTCCGTGGATATTTGCATACCGAGCTGACGCTCAGTCAGAACTGGAAGGATTCATTCAATATTTACTTCCTGATAAGTACTGCGCAACTCTTGTAGAATGCAGTAATGTGCACAGTATCTATATAGATGTATATGGGTTTGCAACAGCCCAATCCTCTGCCTGGAGTCACATACACCGAGCTCTCTCTCTCTGTCACTTGTTAGACTGACCTAAATTAAATTCAGTGTCCATTTAAAGCCTACCAATATTATGTCATTAATACATCAGCTCTCACTGAACCGCACGATTGTCTAAAGGACACAAAAACTTACAGCACAGATGTCCACAACGTAATGTCACAGTTCAAGTTGGCCAGTGTATACACGTACATAACTGACTGGTCAGTGTCTGGTATTCTGGCCAAACTGACCACTGATATGTAACACTCCCAGGGTGTCAAACATAGGTGCACGCGTAAACAATCCGGGACACCTGGACAACGCAGCTCAGCTCCTTTCACCGGCGTCCTCAGCCTAAACCCTTGCCATCTCCATTAACACCTTCTTGTCAGCCGTGTGAACCAACTTTAATGGAACAGAAACAGATCGACTCAAATACTTTCTGGGTTTAATATTCCTCTAGATCGCAAGTTGCGGTGAATCCCAATAATCTTACGCACTGCTAGGCCTTGGAATCAAGCTGGTCCCTGTGATTAAGTAATTTTAGTATGAGGCGACTGTGTCAATATCACTTTGTATGCGTCGTCAATTGAAGCATCGGCATTGTAGAAATACACTATATAGCTAGCGACAGCAAAATCGTTGAAGTCGTAAAATAGCCCCAGTCTCCGAGCATGCCAGTTTAGTCTTTATGCCTAACAGCACCACGACTGCTATTGTTCTGTAGTTTTCAATCTGAACTTTGCTGCTCTACGTGCAAACAATTGTGTAAAATAAGCAGGAATAAAGGTTTTGCAATTCAGGTAAACACACGCACTACCGTCTGGTGGTCCCGTTGCTTTTGTGGGCAACTTTTCAATCGCGCTGTATAAAATTAGTGACTTTGTTCCCCTGTGGGACGTTTATTATACATGATTGTTAAGAACCATTCATGTCAATCATAAAGGCTCGATTTAGGAAAATCCCGAAGGGTTGCGAAATCGGTCCTTCTCCCAATTACTAGCTCTTTTTCTTTCTTCCTTTTTTTTTTTTTTGGGGGGGGGGGGTTGAGGTGTCTGACCTAATTGGAAGGTTAAGCAAAATAATCCTGTGGTATCAAGGACTCCCCTGTGGAAACTATGAATTACTCTCGAAGAATGACACTCACATTTTATCTTAAAGCTATATCATTTATGTACATTTCTTTTTTACTTCAGACCTTACTGCGCTTTTCATAGTTATTTATAAGGCACTCTTTTGTAGGCGAATTTAGAATAACGCCATCATTTGGTTTTAGCATTATCATGGATAATTCTATGGTATTATTAAACATGCAAGGATCAGAAAATTACTTTGCATTTCACTGTTACCATTCACAATGAATACCAGTTTTTTTTCCTCTAATCACAAAATACGATGACTTGTAACTAATGTGAGCTATATTATAAGTTACGTATATCAAATTATATTATAATTGCAAAATATATATAACTGTAGAGAACGTTCATTGAATTTTGCTCATTTTCGGACTCATCCAATTTTTATATTAGTAAATAAGCAAATGAGAATATTAGAACCTTGGCGTTTGGTTTTCCATGCCTTCGGGGTCATAACGATCACCCTGCCACAGATGAAAAATTGGTCCCGAAAAAGAGCTCTTGAATGTATAATTCATGTATATTTATCAAATATAATTTTCATACAAAAATACTAAATGTTTATTAAAATGCATTATTTGCTTCTTTTACAATGAGCTAATTGTGAACTCTTCCCAGAGAATAAGCAAACTTTCCCTCGCGTTACATAATAATCTTGACCAATGTCCATCAAGTCGGTAAATATATACTAGCATAATAAAATCATCTGGGTTATAAATACTCATTAAGAATTTGGTGAAACTTTCTTCTTCTTCCCATCTTGGTTGACTGTGGTATTACAGAAATGACAGGTTCAGAGTCAGTCAAGCCATTTTTCTTGTTCGTTTTACCCAATTCATTAACAGTGAAAAAATCAACATCACCATCACCATCAGCTTTTGACCATTTAGGTACGCTAGTATCAAGCCAACTTTTGTCGTCTCCCATTTGATTCTGTTCTAGTCTAGCTTTAGAACCTGTCGCTTCTGATTTGCTTTTTGGAAGTAGAAAATGATCAACAGCATGTTCTTTGTAATCCCCTGAAGATTCACCGACAGATATGACACACTTTTTTCTTGGAGTATCTGCACTGCTTTTTTCAGTTTTCGTCTGCAAAGATGTATTTAACTGCACTGAATGGTTTCTCGGAATGTCTTTATCATAATTCAAGGACCGCTTTGCCGTGCGCAAAGGTTTGACATTAGTACCGATTTCTTTTTCTACCTTTGTTCTTTTCTGATTGCTGTGGAGAAACTGAAGAATGGTTGGCTGTTCTTTTCTTTTTCGCGTGATGTATGAAACATGAGAGAGCTTATCATTACTTTGATGCACCTTTGTTGTGAATGCCAGACAACTGTCTGTTGTGTCATATTCAAGACTTTCTCCTTCAGCTGGCCTCTCTTTGGCACACTCAGTTATGCTGTTACTTGGTTTGAAGGTGTCCTCACTTGGAGACTCCTGCTCAGCAATGCAGAGATCATTCACTTGATTCATTTTGGTTCTGGCCTGATTAATTATCTTTAAACTGCTGAGCCGTTTAGTTTTCCCTTGACCCATGTCATCAGTTGTGAGCCATTTTTCTTCCTTTAACACTCTATCCTTGGTTTGGCAATTAGGATTTTTCTTGTGGTGTTTAGCTAAGAAAGTCAGAGAAGATGGATGCTTTTTATCAACTGTACTTTCTTTTGACTTCACTGTGGCCTGCTGTGGTATTTCACATGGTTGTGATGTCACATAAGGTCTGTGTGATGTCATATCAGGACTGTGTGATGTCACATAAGGATGGTGTGGTGTCACATCAGGCCTGTCTGATGTCACATCAGGATTGTTTGGTGTCACATCAAGTGTGCAGTGATGTTTTATACAAGCACTTTTCTCCACTTTGTTGCTCTCTGGACAATGACTTGCTTTGTTGGACCCTACGTCAGAGCATGGCACATTCCTGTCATCACTGAGAGAAATAGTGCTGTTATTTTCAGAGCTGTCAGTTTCTATCCCACTTTCAACATCTGAACTGTTGCTACTCAAATCTGGTGGACTCAGTGTTGTGTCTTTATTATACTTGTCTGCTTCCTCATTGCTAGGGCTCTCAATAACACAGTTAATGTCGTAATAGGGGTCTTTTGTTTGACATGCTTTGTCTTTTTTATGCCAAGTTTTAATGTGTGGCAAAGGGCATTTTGCAGTAATAAAAGTTGTGTTTGCATCTAAGTTTGAGTTTTTGGATTCCAGATGACAATTGCTTTGCTCTACAGCAACATGTACTTGGTCACAACCATCACCGATAGCCGGGTTTTCATCTTTTTCATTTTCTTTAGAATTTGCAAGTTTGTCACTATCATACTGTGACGTGATATTTTTGTCCTCATTGTCAGCCAAGGCCTGATCTCTGGGTTCTTTCCTTTTCATGTCTGGTGATTCCTGGGATGAAAACACCACTCCTTTCACTTTCCTGCTCTCTTTAATGCACATTTTATCCCTTTCTCTTTTTCTCTGCAAAATACCACTATTTTTTCTCCTCAGTACAGCTGGTATAGCAGTATCTACAAAATTCCGGCTCATCATGATCTTTTGTACTGAAGGAGGGATTTTGATTTCCTTCTGCGGCACAGGATCCAGATACTCATCAAAACAGGACAATATCGCTCTCTCCTCCAGGCTTGACCCAAGTATCCCTCTTGCCGACCCCTGCACAATTGGCACGATGGACTTTGGCCGGACTCTGGACACGAACTCGTGAAGTTCGGGATAAGCAGAATGATCTGAGTAAGGGACAATGAACACATTGTCCATGTTGGCATAGGGGTCAAAGTCCACCCCTGTGTACAATGCTGTTGGTATGATAGCTATGGTTGGGTACGACTCATCCAGTTTTGTGAGATACTCCTAGAATAGAATAAAATCTTACTGTTATTTCGGTGGGTTACAGAGTTTGATTCCGACTATTTTTTTTTTGTCAATCCTGCCATTCCCTCTTATACATACTCTGGTGGAAAATGTATGACAGCAGAAAAAAATCATAAGTGTGGTGATGTATAGTACATGTTTTATTGTTTCTTGTGTAGTGATCACAGTAAACATGTAAACCATTCCAAAAAAGTCTAAACATATTTTTTATATTTGAGGCACATAAACATTAAACCTACTTCAGAAGCAATGATTATCTACATTTTTACCACTCACCTTAGATATACGTGGACTTGGGGCCAGTCTTATCCTCCCTGCTTGTCTGTCATCAGTGAACACATCAGGCAGCTCCAACAGTTTCAACATCTCCAATCTTGTTGGCGTGACAACAATCCAGGTTTCAAACTCCATGGCGATATCCACCAACAAGTCCTCCTTGCCAAGGCTATTCATGCCCAGGAGTATGTCATGCTCAGGATGTGCGGCGATGATTTGAAAAATTTTCGATTTTGCTTGGTCTCGCGACAAAAATTGACAATTTGGATGACAATAGGTGTTGTCAAGGTAAAGGACGTCCACTGGGGGGTTGGAGGAGAGAGGGGTATCTATGAACATGACGGGGGTGTACCTGAAATAAGGAATAGAACTACTGTTAGTTTTCATAACAAAGCAGAAACACTCATCATTACTTTTTATGGTGTTTTCTGACTCAGGTCCTATAGGTTTCCTTGGTCAGACAGACTACAATATATTTTTTTATTTCTAGACTTTCAGTATTAAAGTCTGCTACATACTTGTAGATGGGTCAAGGGCCTTGGTCTCAAAACTGTTCCATGAAGGTAAGATCTGGTGGGAAAACATAACTGTTTAATATCTTTAGAACAATTGTACTTTTTCAACCATCATTACACAGGAGACAAAGAAAAACCTTACAGTATATAAAACCAAATGGTTTGAAGGTTGTGCTATACCTGAAGTCCCCAGTATAGAGAATGGTACCAAAATATCCAACAAATAAAAACATGACAGCTCCAGGACAGTGGTTGGCATCTATCAGGGACACTGTCATAGTTTCTATGCCTTCTTCATCCAGAGGAATGATATGACTCTGGCCTACCTACATTTATATAAAATATATGACAAGATTATACTTGTATATACTGGTACATCCGAGACCGGATTGAAATCCAGGCAGATTTCGAATCCACCTGGGATTAAGTATTGATAAAATGATTTTTTTTTTAAATAAAATTAAGCATTTGAGCAATGTACTGATATATGACCAAATAGCAAACCAAAGTTTCAGAGATTTCAACAAGCATTTAATAAAACATGATAAAAAATAATTAGGTAATCACCTCAAGAGTTTTCACAAGACCTTTTTGGATATTGAATTTGGCAACCAGAAGTTTGCCAGAGATTTCTGAACAATAGATGGGGCTTTTCCATGATGGGCTCAATCCTGAAGTATGGTCCGCATGCATGTGTGACAGAAAATAAAACTTGGTGTCTGGGCTGCCTCTGGTTTTCCAGTAATCTACAGCAAATGGTGTGCCTGGGATTATGCAGCCATTCATGATTGTCTGAAAATATAAAATGTTTTAAATATCCATAAAATTGCGTATAAATTATAGGTGGAAACAAGTGCATGAACTATGGCATAATAAGCATTTTAGCCTTTTAAGTTTAATAAGTTTTACCTGACTGGTATCTAAGGGTGCTTTCCCAGAGATTTAGATCGATCTAAAGATTAAGTTTTAGATCGACCTAACTCCCTGGGGGTTCACGCTAAAATGCAGTCAGCCGAGCAGGCACCATAGTTAATTACCCCCTTATAGCTTTTAGTAGGCGGGACAGACGCTTAAGCCGGCCAAGCTGACAGTAATCTAGTGAGACTCCCCACAGGGATAGATCGATCTAAAAATCTATGGAAATGGGGTGTAAATCTGTAACAAGTTTTCAACCCATACTGATTTTCCACAGAGTGCATATAGTCTTAAAGATGTATCGAACTGGAGAGTAAGCAGATGGTAGAGGGCACCCTCCCCCCCCCCCAAAAAAAAAGCAAACTGAAGTGTTGGAGTAGTTTAAAAAATACGGATTAATCAGACTAGGGGTACAGCCTGGCTAGCAATACCAGTAGCAGCGGAGCAAAACAATTTACAAAGTTAATTACGTTTATCTGTCACCTTACTACATGATCTATATTCAGCATCATACCTTAGGCTCTTCATACAACTACCATATCTGCTGACTGTCCAAACCGTCTGACCGGACTCTTTTTCACTACACATGAACAGACTTTTTGACTGAATATCAAAAGCACTTCATAACTTATTTTGAATTTCCGCCTACCGGAACCGGAAGTTAACATTCCTCTCCTTTTTCTTTAAACCTCCATTTTAAGAAGAGCAGAAATGAACTCGTTGCACGATTTCTTTAGGTGGGATATAACTTTAAAATTCTCGTCGTTACTGTGATAACTATTCTCCGATTAATATCAGAGCGATAAAATATATTTTAAGGGACGTATCGACCAATGGAGAGGTGAATTTGTGCTTGATAGCACGCTTTTAATCACGAACCAAGTTTGATAATACGTTTGATGTTCTTCAATTTCTACTAGCATAGTAGTAGTATAATAACTANAAGTTAACATTCCTTTCCTTTTTCTTTAAACCTCCATTTTAAGAAGAGCAGAAATGAACTCGTTGAACGATTTCTTTAGGTGGGATATAACTTCAAAATTCTCGTCGTTACTGTGATAACTATTCTCCGATTAATATCAGAGCGATAAAATATATTTTAAGGGACGTATCGACCAATGGAGAGGTGAATTTGTGCTTGATAGCACGCTTTTAATCACGAACCAAGTTTGATAATACGTTGGATGTTCTTCAATTTCTACTAGCATAGTAGTAGTAGTACAATAACTGGAAGCTACGTTAGAAGTGTCATGCATGAGAAATTTAGAATTTAGATTTACTAGTACAAGGACCTTTTCAAATTGAGCGGTATACTCTACTGGTGTATTCTGTGACAGCTCACTTTGAAAGGTCCTAACAACATGTAACTACGCTACAATTTTTTCTCACTTTCTCGGTATACTGTATTATTAATTATCCCTACATTCAGTTTTTATCATATACTTACATACCCATTGCACCAGTACAGGTAGTTCGACCAATAATCCGAACTAAAGTGAAATTAAGTAACTTTTCTATTCTGTTTTGTTTTCCACTTGTCCAACACTTAAGTCTGGCTCGTACTGTGTACATTTACTTAAAAGAAAAGATGGTAGAATTACCAAACCGTCATTTGTCAATATTTTGATATCATTTAATAATATTTTTCTCAATGAATGACGTAACTAAATTTTTGCCTCTCTTTTATCTCAGGTGACATCCTTTCTGAGATGGCGACTCCCTATGCTCGACGGATGGCAGCTTTGTCTGCCAGAATATTTGGAGAGGTTTCTAAACCAACTGACCAAAAATCCATGAAAGTCGTGAAAATGCTCAGTGTCCAGCCTGCCAACAAGAACCCAGAGTTTGTTCGGTATTATCCAAAGTATGAAGAATTGCGTGCACTTCATCTGAGTCTAAGGAGGTTTGGAATTATTAGGTAATTATAATGATTAAAAAGGCACCTTGCCTAACTGAAGAAATAATGGGCCATTGAACGTGTACCATGTTATAATTTTAGCACTTTCTTTCATTCAGTGTGCAACCTATGTACTAGTATTCCTCGTGATGCAGATTAATTTGAACCAATTTGAATTTGACACTTCAGTTATTTAGTTACATTTCAAACTATCAAAATATTGTAAAGGGTAATTCCTTTCCTTATTTAATTTATATTTTGGTTGAATTGGTACTTTAGTATCCTAACTCTTTTGATTTTCTGGCATTTAGGGACGATTTAGCAGAATTTAAAGTCCACCTCGGTAGAGCTAGGACTGGGAGAGGCAAGAAACCGCCAGCTAAGGGTGAAGGAAAACGAGCCATGAAAGCCAAGAGAAAGGGTGGATCATGATGAAAAATAAAGAAAAGGATATTTTTGAGTTAAGAAAAGGACTTTCAAGTACCTCTCTTAGTAACATTGTCCAGTGCAAAGAGTCAAAAACTGATGATAATGCAAACATTTCAGTATATTGAAATAAGGCTCATTGATAGGAATAGTAAATTAGTTGGCTAAGAGCTGAAGCTTAGAGACTTATTAAGCTGAAGACAACTTTTACTTTTTGTGAAATGGAGCCTTGGAGCAAGAAAGCCATTCATTGGCTATCAAGAAAAATTCTAGTGTAGAATGATGGTCACCATATTGTCCATTTCTCCAGGTTGTTCTTCTAATCAAGAAAAAAAAAATGTTTTTTCTGAATTTCTTTCTGTACATCTATTTGTATCAACTTGCTGGAGAGAAAAAAAAATGATGTCCTTTCAGAAAAAAGACATTAAGACCAGATTTTTAATCAAGTTTATTCTGTTGCAAAAGATTGCATAATATACTATATTACATACATGATAAAATCTGCAGCAGCAGCACAAGCTGCTCTGATCACAGTCTAGTGTGAATAATTCGGACATGTTGGCCATTTTGGTTCAGCTGAACATTTCTCTTACATTCACTGATCCTGGCAGACTTTCATCTATTTGGTGAACACTGCTATTCAAATACCCCCCCCCCCCAAAAAAAAAAAAA